AGTTCCTTTAATTATGTGCTATTATACGTTCGCTTTATATTCAAGCTGTTTCTACACAATTGACCGTTAGCGAGGCCCTATCACCTTAGTTACCGTTGCTATGCCTGTCAAACTGTTAATTCCCACATACATACACCATCAACACATAGATTCAGTTTATAATGTGACAGATTCACACAGCGCTGCCTGTGAGTTTTACTTTAGTTAGCAGAAACACTGCAGAGACTCGGTTTATCGTTTTAATATCAAATGAATCACAACATGTTAAAATACTCAGGAAACTTTGTACAAAATTCAATGGTAACAAAACTTTAAGTATTCTGTGGGTCCCTGCGAATCAGCCCCCAATGCACGTACAACCGACATGTTTGAAGATCGGTTCACACGTGTATCATGATCAAACAAGCATAAAAGCCTCTTGGACCCAAACACCAAACCCAACAGGAAGTCAGCCATTTTGAATTTAGTGGTCTTTTTGTGTGTGTGTGTGTGTGTGTGTGTGTTGTCTTTGAGTGAACTTCTCCTAGGGAAATTTTTATCTGATTTACACATGATACGCTGGTTGCATGACGAGTGCGAGGGCCCGTTCGTCGCTGCTCACAGCTTTAATTTTTATTACACAACTCAAATTTCTATGTGGTCAAGTTAGCGAGAATAAATGAGCAGCATCCAGTTTGACTTTAAAAATAAGGCTTGTGTGGTTAACATGATACAGTCGCAGTTTGGTCACGTTTAGGCACAAAAAACATTTACCTTAAAACTTCTAATAACAGCCCCAGCGTTTATTTGCCCCCGCCTTTATTGGGGAGTTTACGGTAAATTTCAGGATTAACTCGGATTCATTACGTTATATAACTTAAGTACATTATGTAAGTTAATTTACGTACATTAATTCGAAGACATTGTTGGACACGAACAGCTGTCTCCTAGGTTAACATAACTTACATAACGGACCTGACCGAACTTATACATTACATAACATATGTACGTTACCCGTAGTAATAAATATGCAACCTACAGTAAGTCCTGGTGGTTAACATTGTGAAACAGTCAGTTTGGTAAATCTTGGTTATGTTTAGGAAGAGATAAATTATGTTAGAAACCTGACGTAACTAAAGTTTGAAGAAATTGTTCACTTCTGGTTTCACACGGGACACGAACAGCGTGGTTGAAGTTCAGAGATCAGGCTCATCAAAATCAATAGTTTATAATAATCCCAGATATCCCTGCTGTAATCTGAAGACTCAGTTACAGAGGAGTCCTGCTCTGTGTCTGCACCAAGAAACACTCAGACGTCTCCTCTTCGCTCTCTTCTTCATCATCATCCACAAATATTAATATTTGCTGCCCCTCGCCGTCTCATTCACTCGTACAGCCGATGAACCGGGCTTTAAAGCCCCGTGCTCGATGTAAGTCGCTGCCAGCGAGTGTCGGCTGATCGCCTCCAATGTAAAATGAGATTGAAGGCAGTTAATAGAGTTGAGGCCGTGATTAGCCTCGGAGCTGCTGCGGTGAACTGCGGTGGCGGTCTGGTATCAGCGGGGTCCCGCCAGCTCTGTTTGCTAGCTGCATTGATAGCACTTCCTGCAGGAAAGACCCTAATTAATTGTTATTATCATTTGTTTGTTTGTGCCTGAAGCCAGAAATTGTTTCCTGTCTCAGCTCGCCATCACGTCTCTTTCTGCCCAGTTTTCTGTCACTCACATTATATTCTTTCATTTCTGTCTGTTTTACGTCTCTTCTCTCAGTTTCCTTCACTTTGTTTCGGTGATTGTTGGTATTTTGGAGGTACAGTCGCTCAGAGAACCGCCTCTTCTGGCTTCTGGAAAAGTCGATTTGTTTGCTAACCTTGAGGAACTTGGGTTGAATACTAAATAAAAAACAGTGATGGAACAGATTTTATCTTTTTTAAAACTCAATTTCTTAGTTTTTTTTTATATAAAAATCCAATAATTTTGTGTTCCTGTGAAACAAAATGCTGTAATACGTAATCATAAACTAACTGATTTCAACCAAAGTGAAGAGACTGCAGACTGAATTTAAATCATCCACGTACTTCCAGCATCCTGGAAAACTCAACAAATAGGAAAATGTAAAATTTTTAAAGCTTTATTTAGCTAACTGCTTATGTAGTTCTCGGTAGCGTGCAACCGAACGGAGGTGATTTATGGAGTTTCCTGATGGAGTTGTTGCTAAAAGAAGCAAACTGTCACTAACAGTAATGTTAGATTAACGTTAGCTGACGAGAGTCTTTGTGACAAAAAGTACCAGATAAAAAACAGAGATTGTTTGGCTGTAGTAAATGAACATTTTCTAATTTTTGTTGGTAAAATGATTAATAATGTCTGACAGGATGCAGTGGTAGTGCTGGGGCATCTGGGTAACATAGTTCAATCTGTGGGAGCAGTCAGGACATGATTACCTCGTATTTATTGTATTAATTATCATAATGATTCTGTTAATTATCTCACACTGATGGCCTTTTTTGTATTACCCTGTTTTATGTGCAGTATTTACAGTTCTGTGGTTGTTGTTGTTGTTTTTTTCCCCCGGGGGGGGGGGGGGACAACAGATGCAGATTAGCCGTTAGCTAACTCTGGTGCTGTTAGTTTTAATTGTGTGCTGCAAAAATAAAGAAATAAAATAAATCCAGAGTACATCTGGCTCTTAAATTACAACTTGGAAAATTATTTCTGCCTATTTTTTTTTTGCAAGATTAAGACGTGTTCATCCTCTGAGCAGAGTTCAGATAATAATCAGTATTATAACTGTCAGTCTTTTAGCTTTAAAAATCATCATTATCGTCTCTATCTGGATCACTTATAACAGAAACTCTCTCTCCGCCACTCCTCCATCCTCCTCCTCTTCTTTTATCTCTCACTCTTCATCTCTCGGCGGTTCGCGGCTTGCTCTCCGCCACCGAGGTTCGTCCCGATTGACTCGAGCCAATTTAAATTCCATTTGGGAATCTCATTTAAATTCATGTGGGACGCCTCATTGGCAGGGCGGCGGTAAACATTTAGCGAGGGGCGGGTTAAACAAATCAAGAGCGTGTTGGTGTTGTTGGTGGAGAGGAAGAGGAGGGAGGAAGAGGAGGGAGGGAGTAAGAGGAACATAACTCAACTGTCCACACGGAGATGAAAAGATGAAGCAGTTGCATGATGGGATTGAACAGTGGTAGATGTTTGTCGGGGCTCGGCGCCCGCTGTGTTGTTGCTGCGAGAGGTTGAATGCAAAACACACACACACACACAAACAAACACACACACACACACACACACAAACAAACACACACACAAACACATACACACACACACACAAACACACGCACACACACACACACACACACACACACACGTCCACAAATGAAAAAATCTCGCCTCAGTCGCTCTAATCTACTTTGAAGATTTGGACTCGTTTCGTCATGCTCCCTCGCTCAGCCATTTTAAATCTCTCTCTCCGCAACATGTGATAGTCTCTTGATCTCGCTCGCACACTTTTGTTCTCCAATATTTTCTTTTTCCCTCCGTCTGACTCTCTCCTCCTCCTCGTTTTCCCATCTTGTCTCTCCTCCTTTTGCCTTTTTTCCCTTTTCTCTAATCTTCTCATGCTGACGTTGTCTCTCTCTCTACGTCTCCCTTGCTCTCAGACTACATCCACTAATTCTGAAAAACAACCTTTACAGCAGCGGCGGATACAGTACTGAAAATATATACTCAAGTAAAAGCACAAATACTCCCATAAAAGAATGACTTAAGTTAAAACAAAAAAGTACCTGGTTAATAAATTACTCAAAGTAGTAAGTTACCTTAAATTTGTATATTTTTTTGGGTGTCATCACGACTGAAATTATGAAAGTAATGCTAAGTGTCTGAAGTTGACGTTACGTAAGTTTAACTGCTTTCTTAAGCACATCAATTTAAAAGCATTAGCTACAAGAGAAGTTAATGTTATGTTAACGTTAGACATCAAAGATGAATATTATCGGCACTAGAGAAGCTCCTCGTACACTCAACTACACTGAATCCTTGTATTAGGACCAAACTTTAATGCAAATGTAAAAGTAGATCAAAGAGTAGAAGTCGTTCCTTTAACACGCTACTTCTTTACGCCTTCGTTACCACCCTGCTTTACAGGTTGTTTTTGATCCACAGTGAAACACCTGAACAGTCTGGTTACTCTGCAGAGTCTCCGTTGGTCCAACTTATGATTTAGTTTTTCCAAGAGATTGAAGGATGTATTTGTCACACACTCATATATCTCTACATGTGATCCATAGCAACTTCGACTGCACTGATTTAATTGCAGATCAACTCAGCAACTTCATGAAATTACTTTTTTTTGCCTGAAATAAACACAGGTTAATGTTTACTCAAGTCTTAATTTGATGAAATCTAATGTACTGGATGAGAATAACGAGATAAATTGTTACTTAAACTAAAAAATAAAGAAGTACAAGCAAAGGTTATCATTTAAGAAGCCTAAAAACAGTACTGAAAGTACAAGTTACTTTCAGTTTTAAGATCAGTTTTTGTTGTTTGTGATTACTACTGAAATTATGTAGTAAATAATGCTAACAATGAAGTTGGCGTCAACTGTTTTGTAATCACAAAGTCACTTGAAATTAACTTAAATACAGGTTTAATGACAGATTTCTTTAGTCTTATTACAAACAAACTTAATGTGCTGGATGCAGAACTTTCACTGTAACTCCTCACAGCTGACAGGGTTTCAGTGTCTGTCCTCTGCTCAGCTAATAACTGAAATGACAGCCCGCTGTGGAGCTCATAAAGGCCGTTACTGTGCGCTGCCAGATGCTTGTTGTGTGTTTATAGAGCAGCTGTTAGCAGCTGCATGTTCACTGTCAGCACTGAGAAGTGTATGTCGGACTGATGTTTTACAGGCTGAGGTAATAAACTGTCCACTAAACGAACATTAAAAGGATCGATGTATGAAATGTGGTGGATGATAATGTGGTAATGAACCCTCCTGTCCTGCAGGTGGCGGTACAGGCAGCCAGCAGACCATTCTCCATGAGGAGCAGTGGAAGATGCCGGCTCTGCCAGCACTGCTGCTGTCGATTTACGTCGTCAACCTGCTGCTGACCACGGCACCGCTCTCCTTCAGCCAGGCCAACATCCTCTCTGCCGTCCGGATGGGTGAGTACCGTCGCCGTGACGTGGGTTCGAATCTGCTAACACTGAAAACAGAGCTGTTCTTTAGTCTTGATTCAGGAACTCTTAACTCTGACTAAATTCTGAACTATTTAGAATTATTGTGCTTCAAACGAGTAAATAAAAAAAATAATACAAAGAGGTTTTCTTTTCAATTACAAGACAAAAAATAATTAAATCTAAAGAATTAAGCTACTTGAAGGTCCAGTGTGTAACGCCGTAGCTTCTCCTATTTACTGTATCTGAGTGTTTCCAGTGAGCCAACATTACCAACAGCAGCATCCCGACTGTGTTTGACCTGAACGAAGCTGAATCAGTATCGGTGGTGGCTCAGGAGGACTTGGGACGTGACCTTGGACTTGTTGGTCATGACTTGGGACCTGTTGATCTAGATTCAGGACTTGAGGAGGGACCTGTTGATCTAGATTCAGGACTTGAGGAGGGACTTGTTGATCTAGATTCAGGACTTGAGGAGGGACCTGTTGATCTAGATTCAGGACTTGAGGAGGGACTTGTTGATCTAGATTCAGGACTTGAGGAGGGACTTGTTGATCTAGATTCAGGACTTGAGGAGGGACCTGTTGATCTAGATTCAGGACTTGAGGAGGGACCTGTTGATCTAGATTCAGGACTTGAGGAGGGACTTGTTGATCTAGATTCAGGACTTGAAGAGGGACTTGTTGATCTAGATTCAGGACTTGAGGAGGGACCTGTTGATCTAGATTCAGGACTTGAGGAGGGACCTGTTGATCTAGATTCAGGACTTGAGGAAGGTTTTAGACGCTGTTATCTGCACCAGAAGCTTGTGTCACTATATACCCAGAATCCTCCTGTGCCTATAAATAAGAGCCCTCTGTTACCAGATAAAATCTCCTCCATCGTGTTGTTTTTGTTTCTCTCTCCACTTGTTTCTCCTCTCACCGCCCACCGCCGGCTCTGTTTGCCATCTTGATTCTTCTCCCTCTCTTTACTTTGTTCGCCGTTTTACGAGCCCCTCGAGGCTTCCCTTTGTCTCGCCGCTCCCTCGCTCGCTCGCCGTTTTACATTTCTTCTTCTTCTTCTTCCCTCGCCGTGTTATTTCCATCCCACGATGGATCATTTGTAGGCACAAATAAACTCGGCAGAAACCGGATCAGGGAGCTTCTCCGTGACTTCCCTTCACGGCCGCTCTGCTCTCGACGCCGCTCACTTCCCGTCCCCACCGCGTCCGCAGAGGAAGATTAACTCCAGTATAGCGGAGGCTGAACATTGGCAGCGAAGGTTCAGCTCTCTCCTCGCAGCAGATAACATTTCCCTCCTCAGCTCCGAGTTCAAATCCCTGTTGCTCTTATCACATGGGGGTTTCGGCAAAACCGTCGGGCACTTTAATGCAAGCTGCCATGGCAACCGTTTCGCCTGGCGATGTGTAATGGCTCACCTTTGGCTTTCCCATTAACGACGGCTGACTGCTCCACTCACACTTACATCTGCAACACGTTTGTTTCACTTATAAAAGTGGAAATAAGAGAAGTCACACGTTCACCCTCACAGACGATGAAAGGACTGAATTCAGCTGCAAAGAGGAAGAACACAAAGAATAAAAACTGATCTTTAAAGTCCAGGTGAAATGAAAAATGACTTTATAATCCTTTAAGATCACATCCTCAGTTATATTGTTCCTGTATTAAACAACGTGTGCCAACAAATTTACTAAATTTCTTTGTATTGTTGAATAAAATCCAATCATTGTGTCTTCTTGTTAAACTAAATGTAACGCGTGCTTACGTCAGCATGAACGAACTGATTTCAACCAATAATATCCTGACATTCACCCGTCAATCAGTCTTTAAATTTTAGAGCGAAGAACACACAACTTTATCAGTGATTTGGGTGAAACAGGATCATATTTTATGGAGAGAATATTGTCTGGTGTTCCCTCTGATGCTATGGTGTAGATGTTAGGTGCCTTTAGCTAGTTAGCTCCTGCAGCTAACGTTAGCTGACTTAGTTAAATCTAAACAAATAAGTCACACCTACACTTAGTATTTCCATTTAATTTATTTATTAACTTTTTTTTATTTAAATACACAACTTTCTGTATTATTATGAAATTAGCAAAATACTCAAATCTGTTTCTAAAATCAGAAAGATATAATAAATAATGCCTTAAATATAAATAATAACATTCACAGAGAGTTTAACTGATATATTCAGTATGACAGCAAACAACAAACCAGAAGAATTAAGCAGATATGAACATTTTGTACAACAGTTTTAGTAAAATCTGTTTAAAATATAAGACTTTTTGCGGTTTATTATACAAGAATTATTATGAAACATTATCTTTACTCTTAAATCGATGTTTTTTTAAGGAGGTTTTGTATGTACAGTTAAGATAGGTAGAATAAACTAAACATTTGACAGGAAGGTTTGCTGGTTTAAAAGGATTTTATTTCATGTTTTAAAGAAGGAAGATTAGAAAATAAAATTGCTGTTTTGAGGATGCTGTATGAAAGGCCAGACTGTCTGCGTTTGTTTGAATTCATCCAAAAAATGTTCAGGTGCGTGAATGTTTCCTTTTAGCTGCATTTCTCTCTTCAGGTGGCGGAAAATCTAATTTAGTTCCACTCCAACACACTCAGCCATAACCAAATTTTCAAGGTTCATGATTCAGTAGCCGAGAAATAAAAATGACTGAATGTGAAGGGTTTTTTTTTTTTTGTCATTCAAGGACTCTGCCAGCAGTCAAATGCTGGTACAGTCTGTCCTGCGGCCGACAACGGCGGGCAGATTTACGTGCCGCTGTGGCTCGTAACCAAACATCAGGAGGCAAAACACATATTCAGAAGATCCTCGCAGGCGCTGGGTAACAATCGTCCGAACAAAAGAGGAAAGAATATCCCTCTGTCATTCTCAATGCGTTTTTCTGCCGCACACATGGTCTTCCTCGGGTCAGGAAGGACTGAATGTGTGTGTCTGTAAGCTGCAGCAGAGGCAGGCAGAGGATCTGTAATTATATTTTACCAACATACAGACATCATTTATAGCGAGGTGAAAATGATAAATAATTACAGCTTTTTCCACCACCACGACGAGTATCTACCAGACAGTCCACTGTGAGCGATAGCCGAGTGTGAGCTAGATACAGTAAATAATGATGAGTCCACAGCGGGTGGACAGAAACAAACTGAGTCGTCCTAAAACAGCATGTTAGATCTCAACAGAGTCAAAACACATTAGCAACAGATACGCAGAGTGTAACACAGCAGAGGTCACATAAAGCGCGACAAAGTCAGCACGGTTTCCAAATCAACCCGTTTATTTAAAAAAAAACAGGTACACAGTGACGGGCCGCACTGTGTACCTGTGTCTGTTTACCTGTATCTGTGTACCTGTGTCTGTGTACCTGTATCTGTGTACCTGTATCTGTGTACCTGTGTCTGTGTACCTGTGTCTGTTTACCTGTGTCTGTGTACCTGTGTCTGTGTACCTGTGTCTGTTTACCTGTGTCTGTGTACCTGTGTCTGTGTACCTGTGTCTGTTTACCTGTGTCTGTGTACCTGTGTCTGTGTACCTGTATCTGTTTACCTGTATCTGTGTACCTGTATCTGTGTACCTAAACAAACAAACTCTTTTCTTTTAACAAAGAAGCAAACTTGTGTGCCAGTCAATCATATACAAGAACAAAGTCTGTACGGTGTCCTCGATCAAAGGAGCAATTATTACCAGCACTTCACATGAGCAGCAATCAAAATCACAAGAAGCGAACGACTGAGCTCTAATTATCAATCACATACGTTTAACGAGCTGATTCATCGCCGTCACGCTGAGAGACGACCCAGATGAGATCAGAAACGGTGATTAGAGCTACTTTGTGTTTATGTTGCAGGTCTCCGGCTCACGGGTCAATAAAATCCTGTCAAATGGCGCAATTAAGTGTTCAGAGAGGAAACAGGAGTCATTCTGTGTATCAGAAGGTTTGAAGAAGAAGTTTGTGAGGCTGCAGTGCTTTGAGTTAAATGCTAACATGGTTGAAGACAACGTGTGGTTGAAAGACCTGATGAAACAGAAATCAGAGAGCGGTTTGCTTCCTAGTATCTACGTACTTCATATAAAAACAGGCAGTTAGGGAGAGACGCTGTGTGTTACGTCGCCCCAGTCCAGCAGCTGTAGTGGATCCATTAGCTCCCAGTGAACAGCAGGTCCAGACCGGGACTGGATGCAGCATCTGATGCTGACAGAGGACGGTTTGACTGCAGGGAATAAAGGACTGAGGGGGTTTTATTGACGGGTTCGGCTCCTGACACCCCGGGGCTAAGTTGACTGACGTTAGCTGCATGAGCTAAGTAGTTAGCTAATGATATCTGACATTACAGTTAGCAACAGTTAGCTTCTTTTAGCAACAAGTCCATCTGGAAACTCCATAAATTACCTCGGTACCGCTGTCGTCAAACTGTCCTCTGTCGGTTGTGTTCACTGGGAGGCTGCTGAGCCCCGTTCGGTTGCACGCTAACGGCAGCTACATTAGCAGTTAGCAGAGTTGGCGCAAACCAGACAATATTCTCTCCATAAAATCGGATCCAGTTTCACCCAAATCACTGATAAAGTTGTGTTTGTACAGTAATCAGCTAGCTAACTAACTAATGAATCTTCGCTAAGGGGAAAAAGGGGAACAATGTAACTGAGGATGTGATCTTAAAGGGTTAAAATTACATTATTTATTTCACCTGGACTTTTAAAGGACAGCGGAGAGATGCTTTAATGTCTTTGTGAGTCATTATAAAGACTCCATACTAACGTCTGTGTGGTGACTTATAGTATTGAAAATAGAAGAGTCTGAAATCAATCTTCATCAGCACACAGATACTTTCTCCTCCGGCAGGATTAAAAATCAAGTCAAGTGAATAAATATTGTAGTGAAGGATCTTAACAATTCAGCAGCATCAGTGTCCTTCAGCTGCTGCGAAAAAACCTCCGTGAATTATTTCAACCGGCGCCATCAGTCA